CTGTTGCTGACTGTTGCTCGGGACAATGATTCTAGCGCGTGAAAAAGTTATTGATGGAGCAAAAAATAAATTGACATATTTTTTTTCTCAAATTCAAAAGCATTACCTATCATCTCCGATAAAGTTTTCTTAAATAATCACTCTAGTTATGCTGCAACATCGATTTAAAGTCAAGAACCAGGCATGGGGGACACGCAAATTTGGGACAAATGTAGGCAATTTGAACATTCAAAGTTCTCCTAAATTTTTATTTCAGTCCAAATAAAGTGGGAAATAGCATGTAATAGTCAACAATAGTGTGGAAAATGAGAAAAAAATTTGATCTGCCCATGTTTCTCAGATTATGACGATTAAAACAGCTCGGGACACCAAATTAGACGCTTATTTGAACTCACCCACTTACTTGTTGAGGCCGTTTCATACAGAGTTCATATAAAGTTTTTACGCTCACAAGCTTCACTGATGAGCTGAGTAATAACGCAGTCTGTCCCATTTTTTTTTGCTGCAGGGGTGTCCAATGGAACTCACCGAAAAACAATGTTAAATCAGGAGGCACCCCAGCAGCCAATTGGACTCCTCAGCCCATGGCTGCCACAACTGGTGCAAATTATCGGCCCATGGTAATGTTTTTTTCTGTTCTTTATTCTTTATTACTTTTTTTCAACTACTGACCGCATTTAAATTTAAATTTAGAATGTTGTCCTGCTGCCCCCCAATGAAAAAAACATTGATGAGTTTTTTCATTGTTTTTTTAGCCATCAGACCAACAAGAAGAAAGTGGAATTTTAGGGCATTCGGAAAGATACAGAATTTTAGAGGCTTTGTTCTCAGATTTAAATCCTTAGAAAATTTTTGGCAGCCTTGCTGCTCTCTTCAAATCCTATCATCTGGCTGTTAAAGGCGCTTTGTTCGCACTGTCATTATAAAAATGAAAGTTTTTAAGAACCTCAATGGGACACCAAAAATTACATTATTTTGGTATCTGCTGTAAGCCATCAAGTATGTTAAGCGCGGTGTATGAAACGCAAAGTGGCTTATTTTGCTGCATCTGATTTCATAGAATTTTATCCTTTTGGCTTTATTTCATGCAATGCAAAAAATGCTTGGCAGTAGTGTGAATAAGTAATCTCCATTTCTTATCACCCTTTAGTTCACAGAAAACTTTAGCATGTATTTCCCTCTCGAGAGATTTTGTAACAGCTAAGGTCATTTCGAACTCAAGCTAAATTTGAGCATCAAAACAGAGTCTTTGATTGAGCAGTCAAATCAGATTTCAATTATGACTGTGCACGGCTTTTTTAGGTAATTGTTCTGTGTAAGTAATGATCAAGTAATTTGTTGCATTCTACAACACTTAATTTTTTTCTACATAAGTGCATGTAAATCTCCCTAGATGATGCACATTGGGACCTCATTTAGGAATAGAATTTCATCCTTATCAAAGAGTTTTGAAAAAAGACTTATCTGTGATGCATAGGTAACGTGTGTTAATCGGCACAGAGGCCCTTATTAAGTATTGCAGATCTGCTGAGTAAATGGTGAGAGGGAATTCTGGCTTGTTTATTTAATGAAGTTTCTTGAACTTTACTCCAGTTATTTTTAAAGTAATCAGATCCTTACGAAGTATATAATTAATTTTTTTGTCAAAGGAATGTTATTTTAATTTTTTCTTTCCTTATAGTTCTCATGAAACAGTGCTGAATATGATGAGCCCAGTGCCCTGAGCTCAACTGTCAAACTCAAATAATACTAAATCTGTATAAATAAGTCTTTTCTTCAAAAACTCTCAACTTAGGTGATGTTCCATACTTAAAGATGTTCAATTTATCCCATTATGATAAAGTTCACATTTGCTTCACTGCACGTCACTTGACATGCGCACACTAGAACATGGTCAAGCTCAATGTACATATTGCACATCTTCAAAAAGTTAGCATTGGTTGTTATGGATCTTCTGTGGGAGGTATCCTTGCCTAAATGTTTCTAACTGGTACTGTTTGGAAGTTTGATGAAATATTTTGTGGTGAACCAAGTTATGAAAATCAAAGAATTGTGATGGGAAGGTGCCCAAAAGTTGCCTTCTGAAACGAAATGAGCATTCGCAGGGTTTGTGGCACCTTAAAACTTTCTTAACTATTCTTACACTTTCTTCCAAATTTTCGAACCCTAGCGTATCCATTTATTTGGGATATTGTGTGAATGTACTCATAAGTCCCTTCAAAATTTTAATCAGGCTAGGAACATCGACTACTTCACACATCTGTCTCTTTACTGTGTTAGCCAAAAATGAAAGCAGAGATTGAACAATTCTCAAGGCATTTATTAACACTTTGGCTGGGCTGTTACCCTTTTTGACCCAGTAGTGTACTTTCAGATTTGAATCTCGCTCCCCCTTGCTGGCCACTATGGGCGAAAAGAGAAAAAAATAATAATTAATAAAAATAGCAGCTAGTAAATTGATGCACCACCCATTATCCTAAGTATGACTCGCAATATTGATATTTTTAACTTGATATTAAAGTCACTCATGCAAATGCCAACTCATACACTAAGGCAGACATTTGTCACTGATGCAAGTAAGGTATCTCTGTCTCGTCTTCTCAGATTGCTACCTTGTCACAGAAGATCCTCACAACTTTCGAATGAAGCATTAAATGACAAAAATATCTAGCACCCGGCGTGGGGGGGGGGGGCATGAGGGGACTAGGGAATAACACAAGAATCCCACAGGTTCAATGATAGCCATGCAATAGACTTTAAAATTGTTTGCATTGTTGGATGAGACAGAGTTAACATGAACTTACAAGCTAGAATTTTGTGCCCGTTTTTGGCTCTCTGATTCCTAATCTGCATCTGGCATTGGTTGAGATGAAGTGCCAGTAAAATGCCACCGTATCTGGGCCTATGCCTAAAACAGATCAGGAGCTTTTTTTTTCATTCTCAAGGACCACGGTAGAGTTCCAAAAATCCCATATGAGCTTAAAGATAATCATCCACAATTTCTTTACCGTGCAGCAAAAATTACGGCACAGCTGAGATGTGGAAGCCTCTAAAATTTGTTGCGCAAGTCATCGGAAAATTTGTTTCAGTCCTTGATTTTAACAATTAGAACTCAAAAAGTTCTTGATTTTGAATTTTGGGTAGTAGTCATGTACACTGATTCAACATTAGGTCTAGGTAATTTATAACATTGAAAATTTTCAATGAAATTTTGTCATATCAGACAGTTCGTCATACTTATGATTTTGTAAATACTACAGCATACTTAAAAATACAAATACTTTAAACTTGATACTCATTCAGTTGAGTAAAATTTTTGATGTTCTGTAGAAAAGAATGTGTGTGGAAGAAAGGTTTTTGCAAAAAAGAGCACCTGGCATCAAATGCCATGAAAACTGGGAGTATAGACAATTGATTAATTTTTATTTATGAACAGCATCGATCTGTAAACATTGAGAGCATGTATTTTTTGGAATGGATCACGAAGGTCTCTCTTTTGACCGTTCAGAATTGATTGAATACATGAAACATATATAATAGGGGGATGAAAAATCAGACAATCAAGGCAGATCGTCCCTTTTTTTTCTCGGCAGGTTACAGTTAATATATTATTTCAGTTTTTTTATCTGCTCTTTTTCTTTTTTTAAAAAATCTGTACACAACCCTTTATACATTTTCTGTATTTACATATTTTTCCCCTCCCCTCAGAGCTTTTTCTCTCTCACCTTCCCTGTTAAATTGAATGTCAGTATCAATGTTAAGACTACTAAAACACCCATCATAACTGTGCGCTTCAACATGTCCACTCTTGCTTTATTTTTATTCCTGAAAACTAGGTATAAAAACCAAAGATTTTTACAGAAAATCCCCCAAAATTTTACCCCATAAACTAGAAAATGAGGAGGTTATAATATTCTTAATCCCGTTATCAGATTAAGAAGTCGCATAATAAAATAAAATAATTCAAGGAATTTATGATGGTGCAAATAGGTATGTGTGTTTTCCTAGTATGAACATTGATGTGCTGTAATTAGCTGTAGAAATTTGTTTATGCCGTGCATGTTACCACTGTCTTGGCTTGTTGCTATTTTCAGGGGCAAGGTATGATCAGTACCCCCATGGCATATACACCCTATGTGCAACCAATGGTAAGTAATTTATCCCTCTATATCTTGAAATGTTCTATCTTAATCTCGACTCAAACGCACATTTTACATGCAATCTTATGGGTCTCTGTCAACAAATTTTTATTTGCAGTAGTCACCGATTGTGCACTAGAATTTTCCTCTCTCTTGTAAGCTGGCTGTTGGAATTTGACAATATGAAGACAAAATTAGACTGAAATAGATTTATGCGGTTGGTTGGCTCGATCATTTTATTTCCTTGTCGTGGTTTTATGAGGTCTGTGATAATAGATTGGTTTGGGTTGACATTTGAGGGTTGAGCTGGCAGTTTGTCAATTTGTCAATTATCCGACATGATGAAGGCATGTCAAAGAATACGTATGGTGTAATCAACTAATCTAATAACTCCATCTCATAGTCAACCTTGTTTCATCGTGTCCAATCAACAAGAACAGAATTTCAACAATTCCCCAGCCGTTCAGGAATCTGTTGAGTTAAATAGAAATAGATTATTTCTAGCATTCAGAAGCCCTGGTTGTTTGATTATTGCAATTAACCCCAGGTTAGCATCAATTTTTGCCCGTTGCTCTTTTTCTCTTTGAAAGCAATAATGGTATCATTTCCAATTTAATGGACTTGTGACAAGCCGTTTGGGTCACGGTACCAGCCTAGCTCTCCTACAAAGGAAGATATTAACAAACCTGTTTCAAGAATGCAATGCAATTCTCAGAAACTTTTCACCTCATCTAAACACTTGTTTCGAAAAATTTGATATTGGTAGCAAAACAGAGTCATAACAAATGATGAGTATCTGAAGGATTATGAAGCGAGTGTGAACCTACCACTCTGTAAAATAACCAATACTATTCTCAGATTTTAAATACTATCAGATAAATTGAATCTAGTTTCATCAACCACCTCATACCTGATTCCTGCTTTTGGAAAAATGCGCTTAGTGAACTTTTTTTCAACTGATGCCTCATGAATTCCATTAGACACAAAATATTTTCATTTTACCTATTTGAGTTAATTTTTGTTTAAAGTGCAACAATCTTTTAAAAAGGACCTCAAAATTGCATCATCAACTTGTATAATTTTCTAATCTTTTGTAATTCTTAAGTGAACATGTGCTCAGGCATTATTTCTCATTTTTTTATTAATATGCTTGAGCCAAATGTGTTTTCAGAAATCCATATAAGTCTCTGTAAATATTTTCTTCTTTGTACTTCTCTTCATATATTCTTTTTTCTTCCCTTTCCACTTCCTATTCCCTGTAAAGATGAAACTTTTATGTTAATAATAGTCTTTTGAATGATTTAATTTTTTTCATTTAAAATTTTACAGGGCTTTTCAAGGTGCTTTCATTCAAATCTTCAAACAATTGGATTTTACTTTATCAAATTTTATTTCATTCATCCTTTTCTGTTAATCAATCAATTTATATCTTGGGCACATAGTCAGCAGTTACGACAACTATTCTGTGGTGCGTCAGTGTCCGCAATCAGTTGAAAGTTCGTTAAACATGGATTCATGATTGTTGTCACCTCTGAAAATTCTCTCTTGATTATTCTCTTGTTAACAGTCCAATCTAATTTTCAGGGAATGCAACCGTTAGGAGGTATGCGAATGCCCAGTCAAGTGCCAGGAATGATGGGAAGTCCAAGGCCAATGCAACCTCAAACTAATCCTGACCCCTTTGGCAACTTATAAAGTAAGATGGCCTCTCTTTCATTATTTTCATGTTAAACTTCTTCAATTCTACTGATTAAAGTTTTCATAAAATTCGATACATCTGTGTATTGAGTCTTTTTTCCCTTTCCCTAACTTTTTGAGGGAAGAGAGCAATCTGAAGCACAATAGGAATCATATTTCTTGTATTCAAACATTTTGCCCTAGGGAATAATGGAGTCATGGAGTCTTGCTTAAAGGTATTTAAATTCGTCATCTTAGCTTGTTCGAATCTCATTGTTTTCCTCATTTATTTTTCAGAATTTGAAGTCGGACAAGGAAGACTTTGACTGATCATATACAAGTTTAATTCAAGTTTCGGTTTATGAAGTTTATAAAAAAAATTCTGGCAGAATTGAAAGAGAATTTTCTGTTTTGCCCCTTAGTTCGGGTACAACTCTTTTAGTATTTCTTTATCCGTGTAAAATGTGTATACAATTGTATTAAGAGTGAATGTTCCTCTAAGTTGATTCATTGTTTTGTTTATAGTACTGTGAATGAATTTGTATATTAGAAACAAAGGTTTAGTAGGTATATCATATGTTATTGTTTCTTTAGATTTTATGTATTAAAAGTATACTTGATGTGAAAATTATCTATCAAGAACAAGCCGATCATCTTAAAAGTGTTTGCTTCAATTCCTACGCTGTGTCTGCCACTGAATAAGTCACTTTATTTTTAAAAAAATAATGAATAATCCAATCTTATATTTTAAATTTAAAAGAGTTCATCGCAAATAATTACAGGAAAAAGGAGCCTGCTTTCAGTTGTTGCGGTGCATTCTAAGTGAACTGAATTGAACGAAATCTGAAAATGAAACACAATAAAAGAAGAGGGAGAAAGCAAATTCTTATTACTAGTAGTACAATTTTTTTCTGCCTAATGATTCATATTTTTTTAAACATGATGGGAAGAAAAGAATATAGTAAAAGCATGACTATCTTCAGAAGCGGTTTTGTAACAGTCTATCATCATAATAAGTTATTTCTAAGTCATTAAAACACTATCACTGCTGCAAAAAATTATTAGCATCATTTATAATCTTAATGAAATTTCTTTTATCTAGCATTCAACCAGACCCTTACATGCATCTACCAAAAATCATAATATTCTCCCAATTTGCCATGCTCTTGATTAATAGATTAGGGAAAAATAAGTTCCCTGTTTTGTGTTATTTTACTGTATTTTTTGTTACTGCACTATTAGTTCTCGTAGAAAAAATTGAAGAGATCTCTTTTGTGTTTTAAAAATCAATTTTTAAACCTACTTGTTGCAGGGCAAGTAAAAAAATGTACCTGTTTTATTATCATCGTTTCTTTTTTTTTAGGCTTTATACATTCCTCAGTTTATATTTTTAGGTCAAACACGTTCTTGTTCTGTATGGTTCTTTTCCTCCTTTTTTTTGTTACTATCATTAAGATCATCAGAGATTTTAGTTTCCCTTCCTTTCTAGTATACATATTTGCATTCAATGAAAAATATTAATTTTTCCAAGACATATTTTTAAGCTAGTCTCATGAACATTTTTTTAAATGGTACAGAATGATTCATGGATATTTTGCCGTACAAATTGCTTACAATGTTAAAGTGACTTCATAATTTGCGACTAAAACCATCCCTTTTTTTTAAAATTAATGGAGTCTTTCCATCTAGCGTGAATACAAATTATTTGCTACATCTTATTTGTAACATCAAATGCCTAATTTTCCTTCTTCTTTGCTCTTGTTTCAAATTAAGGCTCACCATGAAGTAGGCCTCTTTTAGCTATTTTTCTTTTCTTTTATTACTGTTTCTCCCTTCAATTCCTTCAAAATTTTACGCTATCCTATTTTTATGATATCAAAAAAATCTTCAAAATCACCCTCGATTGTAATTGGCATGTACGTACACTTAAGTAGCTTTGATTTAAGCCTCTATAATCTGCTGTTTATAAAAGTTGTATAGTAATCTTATATATTTAAAAAGTTATGTATATATGAAGGTGTATAAATGACTTCTAATAAGTAGCATTATAATGTATCAAAGGAAGTGAAAAGTTCCTTCCTCTAAAAGACCTCTCACTACCTTTCTTCCCTCTGAAGCATGTTGCGGAGTGTCAAGGAATTTTCACAACTTAAGTAGAGATGTTTTGATCACAGTTTTAAATTATGTTCAAGGTTACTTTTCTGTGATACTCTAGCTTATGAAAAATTTTAGCCGTCAAAAAACGTTATATTGGTGCACCCATATCCTGTTAAATTTTTATTTTATGTCCTACGTGTGTGATGAATGCAGGAGATACATGCATTTTTGTTTAAGCTAATAGCAGTGAGAACTCAATATGAAGTCTCATAGTTTTTATAGCCACACAAAATTTCCGAGCCTCATGTTTTATGATTTGTTTGATCACTTGCAGAAGAGTTCCGTACAAGCTTTCTTTGAGAGAAATAACCAGAGTTGAATAGGGGCTGGAAAAGAAAAGAGGTTGAAGCAGCAGCATTGCGTATGAGCATTTATCTATTTGCTTTTGCTCCATTCACTAATATTACTTTGACTCGTCGTTAACTCTGATTTCAATTGGCTAAGCCTTTGAAGCCACATAGGACAAACACTCTTACAAGATGCTCTGCCAGTCAGAGCATAATATTGCCTTAAGAAAGGTGTAACTCAAGTTTTGCTCATTATAATAAAATGTCAGATAGATCAGTTACCATCAAAATCATTGCATTCTGCATTGTCCTAAAAATTGTATGGCTCCTTGTAGAGTTCTCAAACTTCTTCTCCATGTGGCGGACCACAGTTTCTTTTGTTAAGTTTTTCCTGTTTTTTTTTTTTTTTTTGGAACCAAATGATTTTGATGTAGAGATTGTATATTTTTAGTAACTCCCCTTGAATAATTGATCGGAGTGAAAAAAGCCGTTTCTGGCAATGTATGGAATATTCTTCATAGTACATTTTTGTTAGAAATCATTGTCAGAAACTTTTCTTACAGCAAGTTTAATTCTAGCGTTCAGATCAGTGCTTTCCTAACTTCATAGAGTAAGTAACTTTGCCGAAATCGTTCCAACGATGCTTACACCATAGCATCTCTGGCATTGCACTACTCAAGACGTTCCAATCAGCTGTAGATAAAATAAAAAATTAGAATTACATATGTATGTGTTAGCAACTGAGTGCAATATTAGTTCTCATGTATGACTAAAGTCTTAAAACTAATTATTGTTTCGAATAATTGAAAATTAAAAGCGGCAAGAGAGTCAACCTAAGCATTCCTTTTTGTTTTTTTTATCTCTCATCTAACTTGAACACCCTACTCTTTTCTTTCACTCTTCCCTAGGATATGTTTTCTTTCCGTTGAGAATCTTACATTAACTTCGCTGATCCTGCTGAGAATGAAATGTTGACCCTTGCAACTGTTTGCCTTGTGGAGACATTCATATTGGTTCTAAAAATGGTCTTTCACTCCATCAGAATAGATGATCTGTTCTTCTATGGTTTATTAAAACTGGTCCCTTCATTCCTTCAGGCAAGCTATTTTTTTGGCGCCAGGATGTGCTTCATGCATAGATTGATTGCTCATCTGAACATCCTCTGGATGTTTTAGATTGACCTAAGCTCCGAGCTTTCCTGGCCACTTTAATGGTAAACTCTCTCTTGCTTTTAGTGGGTAGATATTTTAGAAGCAGGACTGTTCTCGTCGCCTAATTGAGTTTCTCTCAGTGTTACCAGTGCGTGTGTGTACCATGGGCGCTGCTTATTGTGGTCAGGTTTGGCAAAGCAAGTATTAGTCCTTGGCTAAAGAGGCTGATTCTAAAAAGTGACAGGGAAAAAAAACGGTAAAATTATGTGTACACTCAAGTTTACTCAGACTCTCCACTGGCTGACGTTCAATTTTTTGTCAATTCAGTAAAATTAATTTCATGCACAAATGATTGCGATATTGGTAACTTCTGCAGTTCTGCACAGCATCCCACTGATTTTCATTCGGAAGCTTATCATTTGTTCTGAAATTTGTTCCTTCCCTGTCACAATTAGGTCTCTTTAACGTTTACATGAACCTGCTTCATACCTTGAATAAAAAAAAAATCGCTATAAAACTGCCCTCAAATTTTAATTCCTAAATTGCAAGACATTATTTTATGCACTGACTGATGCAAGTCTAATTACTGTCAGATGACATTTTTTAAAGACGCATTGGTCAGCAAAAATAAGCTCTTACAATAGTTCAGCGCTGATGAAGGTGTGCCTTCCTGATTACAATAAATGGACGGTCGATTACAATAAATGGACGGTCGATCACAATAAATGGACGGTCGATCACAATATGCGGTGAGCTTTGCAGGTAAAAATATGTTGCCTCTCTGTTACTGTAAAAATGATTTTATTGACCGTGATCATAATAAGCGGCGTTTATGGTACTTGCACTAATGCAAAATTGAAGATTGTAGAAGTGGCAGCTTATTTTTTCATCACTTATGCATATAATAGGAATGTAGATAATTAAATATCATGCATTTTTGTTGCGTTGTGTATTTTTCAAAATTTAATTTGCTCTCTATTGTGACTTTGGCCAAAGTTGTTTTAACAAGTGATAGCCCTCCTTTAAATTGACTCATTGAATGCTTCATTACAGTCTGGAAGGTAACACTGAGTTCTGTTATCTCTTTGATTTGTATCTGATAAATAAGGTGCCATAAGGAAGGTTGTAGGGAATTCAAAAGACAATAATTGTAGGGATTATTTTCAAAAATTGCGTATTTAAGTGCTTTGTAATATATGCTTATAGTTATGCATTTTAGTGAATGTGGAACATTTTGCTGTCTTGCGCATCTCACAGCTAGAGATGAAATAAAAATGATATATTAAAGAGCATACAAAATCCCTATTTTTGCTTTACTGTGGATTATCTTAAGAGGAAGTTCACTCACTGTCAGGTAGAATCAATCATCGAACATAGAAAAGTCTTATACACCACTATAACAAAATTATTTTCATATCAAGTAGAAAACTTTTTTCTAACAATAAGATTTATTTGCAAAGCCTGGGTAAGTTTTACCTCACTCTAACGAAGTAAGAAAAATGTTTTTCTGAGTCTTGACTTAAGTCGCGTTTCTAAGTCTTATTTAGCAATCAACACCAATATTTTTTTTACGATCCACTCTTCAGACATTTGCCCTGTTAAGTCATGTAGAATACACCAAACTGGAAGAAAACCACTTGTGGAATCCTCAACTTTAATTGATAATCTTGGATAAAGAATGCATACTTTGCTCCAACACCAACAATTCCAAAAATTGCAAAAAAAAAAAGAAAAAGAAATTGCCTCATTTCGTAAGCAACCATCATTTGAATGGAGCAGTTTAAGATTCGTTCAATTGAGGTGTTGTCACGGTGGCTGCTTACTTTTGAAAGTTTGACCACTTTAGACCCTCTATACACAGTTACTATTGAGAGCATCAATATCTTTATTCGTGAAGGCATCAAAGAATAAATTTTATAGACAATTCACAGTGCACAAGCAGCAGTTCATAAATTAAGTACGTCACTGATTTCTAAAATTTCAGGTCCCTCATCACTCTTTGTCCCATTATGCAGGTCTGCGATTTCCTGACCTATTATGTCAAGGTTTGCTGGCGCCTCTCTCTTTTTACAAAAAAAAAAAATGGCAATTTTTTTTTTTAGTGTTCTTACCAGCACCATCAAAAGATGTTAAAGAATCGTTCCTTTGCAACTACTTTCTTGTGGGTTTTAAACAGTGCTAGTATCAACTCTTCTCCTCTCTTATATTCATCACCCAAGGTCAGATTTTTCCCAACCCCTCAAAGCGTAAAGTAATTTGTGGAAGTTCCCTAACTGCCGACTTATTGGAGTCCAATGGATCGTGAAGTCAATCTTTCCCTGTAATAAAGATGAGTCACAAGCATGTTGTGTCGGAAAATTGATTTCAACATCAGTGACCATTTGTGTCAGTTTGAAGACTTGATCTGTTTTGAGATCATCCGCTTCCAACCACCCACCAGGGTATCAGGTAGCACTAGTAACGGTCGTGAAATTTTAAATACAAAAAGTATTGAAAATGGCGTTAGTCCGGTCTTCACTTGCAACGCTAATTCTGAATACGCAAGATGTGACTCCTATCATAGTGAAATATAAGATGAATCACCATAGGTCTATTCATAGCAGCTTTGCACGTATGTGCTTCAGGTAGCTTGGTATTTTTGATAGAAGTTTCAGCAGCGTTGAAAGCCCTGATCCTTTTCTTTTTTACAAATGGGATAGTGAATATCCTTCCTAAAACTTGGAGGAGAGTCACTATTTGACTGCATTGATCCAGTCTAGATTATCAAAACTTGTAAGTGACACCTTCAGCGGTGGAGATTTAAAAGGAACAATGATGAACTTAGAGTCATCTTTTTATTCAAATCAGTAGGCGCTATTCTTTTTTTATCATAGTGCTTACGTCACCTGAAGTAAAAAATTTTCACTGATTTCAGATTTTTAGTGGCCGTCATTGTATCAGCACAAAGCTGGGGACGTGCTTCCTTCAAATAGTTAGCCGTAAAAAAATTAAAAGTTGTCTAATTTAATTCTTTGCCAAAAATCTCTATTGGCATGGCATCTTAGCTATAGCAAGGTGTGATGCATCTCAAGTAACTAACTTTCCCTAGAATAGTTAAGTATGGCAACTATATGTATTGTATAAAGAAGTTAATCTGGGTTGTGTGCCATCGATTAACACACGGACATTTTAAAAAATTATCACACAAATCAGAATTGGTTATGAAATTAAAGTTAGGAAATGCTGTGGTATAAATATAATTAAAAGATGTTTTAGAGGTACCATTCCTTCATACTCTAAAAAAGATATCCTTGGGCCCTTGAGGTGGAACCACCCACAAAGCTCTCAAAAAAATTCTAAGAGATGACAATTCCCAGTTGAAACTAGCCACACCCACTTAAATGATGCACCTGAGTAGATTAACATTTTTTTGGAAAAATTCACTTGCTCAGGTGAAAAGCTATTTTTTTTTTTTAGCGATGAATATGTTTCACATGTACCTATTTTTTAACTGATCAGTGCAGATAATTTGTCAACAAACCCTGAGAGTGGTGATTTTGACCATCTACTATATTTGCTGCCCTGAAAAATTTTGTATCATCACAAGTCGAGGGCAATTGTTTCAGTGTGTATCATGAATGTAATTTAGAAAGACGCAACAAAATGATTGTCTGTCGAGAACTCATCACATTATTTTATTTCAAATATTCTGAAATTATGTCAAATAGTTTTTTGTTTCCAAATAGTATATTATCATACTGACTTTACACGTAACAGATAAGCTGAGCTGTTGAACATAATCTACGGAATTTTTAAGTACCTTGAACTGTAGGTTTATTTGGTATAATTGTTGCAGTCGCTTTTCTTAGTGTAATCATATACCGTACTGTAATCATGGTATCTGCTAATTGATTCCTCTTCAAATAAAATGTTAGCAAAATTTATTGTTTCATCGTTAAATTTCACTTGACCTTTAAATATAGCACCAGTCCCAAATAATACCCTGGGAATAGATTACAGATGACTTGCTAAGAGCCTGACGCTCTCTCAATGTTGTTATGATATTTTTAAAAGATACTATTTTCACAGATACTGAAGACTCAGTCCAAGAAAAGGTTGAAAATGATCATCCTTTCGCAGTACTAAAAGTAGAAGAAGTTTTGTCTGATGATATAACATGATTTAATTTAATAATATAATTTTGGCAGAAGTTAGTTACAAAAAGATTTTCTTTAACAAGATTATAAAATGTTAAAACGATGTAGGTATATAAATTCTAAACAGAAAATTTTGATTTAACAAATTCCCAAATAGAGAGGATAGTTACAGATCCACTTACGTACATAAATGAAATTTAACTAACATGCTGATCATATGTTAAGAAGGTGATTACCTACTTCAATTTCAAGAGCTGTGCACTATGGCACAGTTCTTGTTTTCATTGGGAGCAAGTTTAAGAATAACAAATAGTATCACCCTCTGAGCGAGGTGAATCAGTCATTGATAAAGATTAATTCAATTTTTATCGTAAATCCTTCAAGGCTTATTATTTGAAACCATGGTAACTAGACTTAAATATCAATTTCAGAAATCATAATTCAGAATACAATTGCAGGCTAACTGCACCTAAAAGTCACAGAAACTATTTGCGCTCCAAGCTCAGATCACTTACACAATGCTGCACAGAGGAATATTAATCATAAGATGAGATGAAAGCTTTTGCTTTCACTGGAAAGCATTTCCACGGCAAAAATACAGGACTGAAATGCTTTAGGGAGTCAGTTTTAGTATAATGTTTGCTGGGCTTGTCAGATCCTTTATTTTTTTCTACATTTTGATTTTTCCCGGGTTTAATAGCAGCATTGTAATTTCTACTATGATTATTTTTTACTTTTTATCATGCATAGTGCATTGGTTTTGCTTTATTAGTTGATTTTAGTTTTTTTGTCAAATGAAAACGTCAGCTTTAGTGCGGTCCTTTATGAATTTATTAGCAACATTCTTTAAACGGACGAAGTTTTGGAAGAAAATTAAAACCTCACATGTGTATCAAACCAATTAAATTTTTCTAAAAGGAGGGCCCATCATTTTGTGCCATAGTGTCTTCAGTATTTCTTCTTATCCTGATAAATGAAATAGTCTATCAAGGTAACAAAAAATACTAAAAAAACTACCAAGGAAACCTCACGAGGAAAACTCAAGCCTCAAAAAATTCTTAGTGAGGTTTAAAGCTAGAAAAATTTCTCATGAGAAGGAAACCTTCCATCTCGACTGGAGAGGAAGTATGATATCAGATTGAGTGAAATTCATACATGTTAACTTTGACTTATCATAGGTTCATCTCACAGGAAGATTTTCATAATCTCAAACCGGTTGGCATTCAATGAAGATTGGAAAATGCGAGAAAGTAAAGTTTAAAAATGGATGACGTTCACTTGTTTTGGAGATTTTAGAATTGAAAGTGTAGTATCTTTGCATATTGGCATCGGATGGCTTATAAAAAAAGGGAGCAAACACGTGAGAAATTTCATAACCATTAATGGATTTTAATCAAGTTTAACTGTAGAGTCAGATAGTGATGAAAATTTACGAGAAGAAAAAAAACATTACTTTGATTAGAATGTATGCAATTTCGTCTTCTTCCCTGGTAGAATGAAAACAGCAAAGCTGACTGAAGAATAATAGTCCTTTCAATGCTTGACACATTAACATTTGTAAACTCATTTTCTAGCAAAACTTTGCCCATCACGTGTACTATTATACTCAACAACTAATTTCTATATCTTCATAGCATTGCTATTCCGCAATATGATCTTCTCAAGTTTTCTTATAGTGTCATGAATATCGATGGGGAAACTAGAAGAACCAACACCTCCCTTGCAGTGTTTCTATTGTTGTGTTGACTATTTTGTCTAAAAAGAAAAATGAATCAAATGATCTGCCTCAAATTTGGATGGGGAATTTTTCACTGGGTGGAAAAATTCATGGAGATTCTCCTAAGATGATTTCGTAATTTCAATATTGAGTACAACTGGAGTGTTTTGCGAAGTTGCCACTGAGGTTACATGTCGTTTGACCATCGATATGCAGTCCAAAGGAGGCACATTAGAGTGCTATTGAGAAAACACTTTTCAGCGACATTGATTTTGTATAAAGGCAATAGTGAACCACATCTTCATTTTCGTAATGGTAAATTAGTCAATCATTTTTTATTAAAAGTGCTAAGTGTGCTCTCATTAAAAAGAGAAATGGCTGTTAGGAATAGGTACAATCAAGTTTATGTTGCCAGGAAGGTACTCAAATGTTGACTTTAAAACATTGACTTCAAGACTTCCCAGGCAGTGTATGTGTTTGTTTTAGTATTTCATAATAAAATAGTAAAAATACGAGAACTGCCTGTCAAGGATCAACATGATATGGGCTCCTCCCAGTCAAGCTTCGAAAAATACCGATTTCAATTGCAAAAATATAATGATCATAGTATGAAATTGGGGGAACACTTGGAACTTTTGAAATTATAATAATACAACACTGCATTTTTCTAACAATAATTCTGAGACCACATAGTAATTAAGGGGAATTTTCAGATGATCATTGACACCATTAAGAAAATGTGATAAAGAAACAAGCAGACGGGCAGTGATGCTGAATTTGGAGAAAATAAAAGAGCAAACAGCAGATGTGCACAGTCCGCTGTGCAGTAGCTAGTCAAATGCTAAAGGAGCAAAGAAAGTGGGGACCTTCTCAGCAAAGATTGGGTGGCAAGCGAGGACTTGTGCGTTTGAACGATGGAAAGCAGCAATAAGCCTGACTATTCTTAGATGATTTGAGCCAGCATGAATTGGACTAAGTTTTGCAATTTGGACCTATAGATTCTAGCCCGCATTAAAAACAACGTATGTGTCATTAGTTTCCCTATGAACATAGGTGTTTTTCCAGAAGAGCCAGAATTTATAGTTCCAAATTGCAAAATGCAGTCCAATTGAGACCACCACTGAGAAAACTATAAAGATCACATCCCTTCTGTTTCTAGCAATTTATTTAACAATTACTTCAGAGAGAAATTTATTTGATACAGTATTGCGCAGTAGTAATGTAAAATCAGGATGAGTTTCCATTGCTAATGCACAATGAATGGCCTTCAATTGAGGAAAATAATGGGTTGTATTTCTTTCAGTATGATAGGTGTACAACTACTAGAGGGTATACAACTAGCAGCTTTCCTTGGTGAGCCAAGGGTAAGAAATTGAATGCTATTACATCAGTAATTAGAGATATTGTGGGAATTGACTTGTAGTTATTCAGTTGAAAGGAGGAGGCGTAAGGTAAATCAAGGATAACGCTGTGACATTTTGCCAATGAAAAAAAGAGAAATTTTTACAATGGAGCTGACGTGGCAACATATACGTTTTCTTATTTTTGTGTGTGGGCTCACACATTTAGTGATAAGTTGCGTAGCTGCTACTTCAAGTACCTCACGGACTGGTTTTCACAGATGTCTCCATGTGAGTATAATTGCATTTATTAAATTAACTAGAAGTTCATATGAAAAACTAGGAAAATAGCTAGCTGAAGGCTCATTATTGCAACTATTTGGAAGAAGAAAAAAAAACCTTACAACATTAAGGACAATACTTTTTAGATAGAAACTCTCAAAAATGAAATAAAAGAGTTTATTAAGTAAAATAAAAAGGGAGAACTGATTCTTTGAAACAAGGAGACTTAAAAACAATGAAAATGAGTAAAGAAAGGAATTGGGTAGGGGAAAAAAGGAAAGATAAGCCAAGGAGAAAAAGAAGTAGGAATTACAAACAATGTTAACTGTAACATAATAAAAATTACATTTAACATTTTCTATGTACAGATAATAAACGTTATCTCAGTCAGAATATGACAAGATGTAAAAAATAAAATAACAAGCAAATAGGAATGTCACTGACAACAAGAAACAAAATGACATACACATGTATCCAATATTAACACAAATCTAATCAAGTGAATAGAAAAATATTCAAAAGACGTCAACTAATTATTTACTCTACAAACGTATCAGAAATAAGAAAAAACAGATTCTTTTAGACCTATATAATATTTCAACAAAGATACACCTGTCATAAGCTGATTCAGAGTTAAGGTGGACTGTTTTAGCGATAACAACACTGTGCAAAACAATGAAAGTACTTTAAAACAATCACTAACTTGTTTTTCATACTTTTCCATGGCCCACATGCCAAATTGATCTGGATGCAAGTACGGTGAAAGTCGGGCATCTTACAATACAAAAAATACCTACTAGCACTTATTGAAAAATTAATTATTGTTAGGGTTCAAGAGACTGCATGAGTATTTGTACCTCCACAGTATTATTGCCTACAAAAATAAAATAAAAAATCCTTTCGGTAATTTAAAAAATTATTCCCTCATTCGTAGAACATAATGAATGTGTTAAAGACAGAGCACAAATTCAGTGCTTCTTTTAGACCAAGAGGAGTTGTTCACTCACAATAAGCATGCAAGTGATCGATCAGCTTCTGACATTAAAAACTGAAGAGTATAAATGATACACATATCAAAATATGGATTCCAGATGGGATAAAGTGAAATATATAAGTAGTTCGATAGACTAAAGGTTTTGAGCTTAAATTCAATTGTTCCATTTAAGTCAAATAACCCAGCATAGCAATGCCACTTGTCGTCTGATATCACTTCAATAGGTCAGTGCCTTTTAAAGTTACCCTAAAACAGCTTCAGCCGGCATTAAAAAAACGTTAAGTTTTAAAATGAATCGATAACAAATAATGGAATAAGTATATAAAAATATCATGACCTAGCAAAACATTTTTAACTACAAATACAGGCTTTCAAAATACTGAAGCCCAGAACATCATCTCCTATTTAGGTATAGTTAGATAAAAAAGGACAGTTTTATATTGACAGTAGATGAGATCTATGCTAGATTAGAGTGATGAAGACTGGTTCAAGGAATTTAATAATTTCTTTCAAGTTTGGCAGCACTGTAAAAGTCTCATTTGTATCTCCATCTATTAGCGCAATCTGCAATTGAATTAATAATTTTAAAATTTTCAAACAACTACTTCTCTATCTAAGGAGTGGTAACTTATTTAATCAGAGCATTTATTTCTATTGGGCACGAAGAAGCTACATGTGACCCTTAATAAAATTAAGAAATTCCTTAACAAAAAAAGAACCTTAAATAAAAACCATCTTCTGAGGTTAGTTTCTATTTTAATGTAAGTACTTAAAACCATGATTAGATAAATGGAATGTTTTGGGTTGTGGCCTGATAATAGGCGAGGAAAAAAACATCTTAACATGACTAGGTTGACCAGGATTAAAATTCAACTTCCCCAGTTTACGGCTCACAAGTGCCCAAGTACTGGCTTCAAACTTGGCCTTTTGCTATTCTACCTGCTGCAGTATTGGTTAAAAATGTTAAAACAATCTGGCTCTTGACGAGGAATAGTTCAGTAATACTTATATAGGGAAATACTGTCATTGATGCCGATTTGCACTGCTGGGTGAGAGTAAATTATTTTCATTTAAATGAATCGCTTTACAACAAAACCTTGAGCCTGCTCTTCTTGTTAATAAAGTTAAGGTACACAATAATTTAAGTCCAGAATCGTACACTGAAGGTTTATTAATAACCAAATTGCTCTTTGTCAGCCATTCAGGTTGGCCAGACTTGCATTCTTTGAACAAGTTCTTTTTTTTATACACAAATCATGCAATAGGAAAGAAAATATTTTGGCACATTAAATTTTGATACTGGGAGAGAACTCAGCACACTAAATCATTTTTAAATTTGAAAAAAAGAAATACATTTGTTTTGACCCATGCTATTTATGATACCACAACAATTCTCTGTAATGACAGCTCAGCAAAATTTATACCGCATATATTCAATTAATTAATTAAGACAAAATTTTAATTTGTTGGCAAACCTGTCTGGAAATAATTGAATCTGGCGACAATTTAATGTTTAAGTTTGGCTGCACCTCAGGGAAGGATAGATCAGTTCCCTCAATAAGTTCCTTTGTAATTTAAGATAATTTGATTTTGACTTAATGATGATTGCTTTCAAGACTGTAGAATTTATAAAATATTAGAGTGTTTAATTTTTTTCTCCCTGAAACTATTTGAGCGGTATTGCAACACGGTAATATCAACTATCATGCCTTTTTAATGGGAAGACACAAATTATTATTGAGAATTTTTTTTGATTTGTAACTCAAAAACCTGCAAAAATGTCTACTGCAAGGTGACAGGTTTTCTTGAATTTTAAAGGTCCCTGACTTTATTATGTTACTTTTTTTTATTTTATTTACTTTTTTGCATAACTCCGTGAAAACGTGTTTGACAAAAATGTTTCAGCGCAAAGTCTTTTGAAAAAGACAAAATTTTGAAATTCGATAATTTACAAATGGAAGTTTAAATTTTTGTGGATAGATTGTACGTGTATGGTAGAAAATAACTTAAAGTTTCGGCTGGAGGAAAGAACTTCAAGGTTGATTGGTAAAGTTCCCCGACTTTTCAAGGTTGAGCAAAATTCCCTGATTTTTCCAAGTGTCCAATGACTTTTCAAGCACTGATCACCCTGTGCTGTGATTTAAATCAAGTACAAAACCAGATTTTTCATAGATGCTCTACGGTAGGCATTGTATCTGAGTAACAAGCTTCCATAAACCTACTAGAAGGTGGACATTTTTCTGGAGGGCTATTCATTTTGCCGGGACAGCTTATTCCGATGAGAAGAGTTGACTTCCTCAAATTATGAGGAGCTAAATTAGAAGACACAGGCGCCCAGGCAGGGAATTCCAAATGTGAGGGATTAGAGAAGTTGAAACCAGCCCAAGGCAGGCATAATTAGGCAAGTTTTCTGAACCAGTATCTGTCTCTCATTGCTTTATTGAATTAATTGTCTACATAAACTTCGGAGAGGAAATTGCATTTTGGAATGAGGAGGAAACAGCCTACACTTACCCTGAGTGTCAAATACACAACAACAACAACAACAAAAATTTGATTGAAGAGCTCTTTTGAGGTAAGTTGAATTATGAAATTCAAATAACTGGCTGACAATAAATCCTTGAACTATTAACCAAGTTAGATAAAGGGGATCAACTTTGTAGACGACCACGCATGAGTAATTTCAGGAGAGCTTGTGTCCACTTTTTTTAGAGCTTCCAAACTAACGAGAAATAAAAATGGAGACAAATTTAAAGTCGTTCACTTCCTTCTGTTTATCTATGGTTCCAAGTTTGGAGAGATTAACAACAGACTTTGAAGAAAATGCCCTGAATTGAAACATTAAATGAACAAAATGATACCTAGGATTTAAACATTGTTCTGGACATTTGCCAGAATCACATTTCTAGATTATAATTCAAAAACTCCCGACCCTTTCTGTGCAAATCAAACGAACAGAAAATATTAAGAAAAGAAGGGAGAAGGAAAAAACCAATGTTACTACTCTATGCAGAAGGAAGGGATCAATTTTGAATGTACTTTATCTTACTACCTAAATTAAGAAAAACATTATTTCGGCCTGTGTATAAGATTTGCCTAGTTTATTAATTTGACCATCAGAATCATTTTGTAGGCAATTTTTTTTTTCATTCATGCGATCAATAATTATTACTTTCTTTTTTTTTTGTTTTCTTTTTGTTTTGTTTTGTAGGAAATAATTTGAAAAATTTTAAAAATATACATTTGAACGAAGATACAAAACTATAAATAAAAATTATTTGAAATAAGTTTAATGAGAGAATGGCACAGCTAATTTTAAAGCTGATACCACTTCTTATCTTTGTATTTGAGCATAAGTCCGTGTGCAGATGAGGAGAAGTTCTCAGCTTCAGACATCATACGTTGAGTGCGTTCTTCTAATTGAGAAAGCCGTTCCCCTCGTTCTAAAACTTGCTGGTGAGCCCGAGAAACTTCGCTGGCTGCGGTGCTTGCTCTCTGACCCAGCTGTTCAATCTGTGCTGATGACCTAGGGATATGTTTGGCTAGACTCCGCGAAGCACGCCCACTCGACGTTTCTCCAACTGCAAAAAAAGAAAAAGAAGTTAGAGAATACTGCGACAGAATAGGCAAAAGTCTGAACAATCAATTGAAGAAATAATTGCTCCCATCAGCTTTTCCGATTCTTCTTGCCCTGGACTATAGCATGATATAGGTAGAACATTGATAGGTAACAGCTGGAGGTAAGAAACCCTTTTTTTCACAGTTAAGTCAGGCTTCAGAGGCAATGGGTGGTAGAACTCATTAACGCCTGAATGCTGTTCATGCATCCTCAACTTCGCCAAGTTATTCTCCGTTTGGGGGCATTCCTAGTAGTGACATTTCTACCTACTTTTTGCTGCTGAAGCTGAAAATGACCTTAGTTTTTCCTACAACCTACCAATTTCCTGGAAAACTTTGTTTCCCATGAAAACATTCTTTAAGGGTGCTAAATTTATGTTTGTACATAACACTGGCATCATTTTGTTGAGTCAGCATCAGTATAATTTCATTTTGCTTTAATCTTGCGCGACTACAATGATTTATACTTTATAATTCAACAAAAATGATCGTTGGGCGCAAAGACGGCCTATAATTTGCTTTTTTAAATTAATTACGTTTCAGTGAAAACCAAAAATTTATCCCAATATCTACCTGGCGCCCTTAAATAGAAGGTTTAAAAACACAAAATCATGGTACCTGCATAGCATAGTCGGCGTAGTGCATCATGCATAAAACTTTAAATATGTTTTTCTCACAACGCGGTTTCCAGGCATCGGCCGTTATTCAAGCGGTGTTCTTAATTTGACATCATACCGTTCACTATTTCAGATAATTATTCAAGACTAATGTGACAAAGGGTTTCATGATTTTAGATTTTACTTCTTAAGGTGAAAAAAAAAGAATAAAAAATACAACTCGTTTAAAATTGATAAGTTTGAGATGAAACCTTCGACAAGACAAGGAGACAATTAATGCATGATTAGATCTACGTCAGGCAAGAGTTTAAATAGACCGTAGGTATGGAGATTTTCTAATTTTTCTGAACCAAAATACCAACATTTCCTGACTTTCTCTGACAAACAATTTAGTGGAATTCTTTTAGAGCGAGGCAGGAAAGAAAAGCCAATGAAATTTAGTCTCCTTAAACTTAAACTCTGTTGATCTATCGAGGACGAGTCCTCTTGCTCTTTCCCTCTCTCTTGGTCTTTCATACTTACATAATTCTTCTCTATTCAACGTTCGTACTCCACTTCCAAATAGGCCGACAAAAAAGCTTTGCTTTGGAGCTTCAGGCATTTCGTGTGGGAAAAATAGTTCGCCCATCATTTCTGCTAAACTTGCGCTAAAGAACACAATAATAAAAACAAGACAAAAATCAAAGATTTGGAGAGGAAGATGACAGGAAAAATTTAGAAAATGAAGTTCCTGTTTTCTGCTCTTAATTACTGTTCAACCCGTTCTTAGAGGACAAGACATTTTTTTTTTGAATTTTTACCAATTTATGAACAAACTTCATGAATAAACATTATCTGAGAAGAATCAAAAAGTCTCTGAGTTCATGTGATTACTAAAAATTCTACAAAAATACAAGTTTCATTTATTTTTTTTACACAGCTCTACAAAGATTTTGTCTTCATTAAACGGAATTGCAAATATTCCTCATTGATCTTTCAGAATTTGGGTATTTTCATGTATGGGTAAGGGTTGAAGGAAGAATCAAGTAGGATTTTTGAGAAAACACACTTGATTTTCTTATTAAAGCAAAAATTAATTACCTAAATTCAGCAGACACTGTGAACTTTTGTAGTTCTGTCGGTGAGCAGAGATACAAACCATGGCCGCGATTACTGAAGCAGAATGTTCGAGCAATCCTAAGAGAAAAAACAAAGATAAACAGAAGTATTAGATGAAATCATGAGAAAAATCGCTTGAAAGCTTACAGAAAAGTCATCCCTATGATTATTCGTTTAATTCTCAATCACTGCACATTACTTCAGTAATTTACCCTTCATTCAGTTTTCCTTGAAAACTAAAATTGAAGATTACAAACACTCCTTTCCCATTCTGTGGGTTTAATTACTTCACTTTGGTGCATGAATTATCCTATTATTTCGCGTACAGTAGAACTTGACTTCTTCCGCCTCATGTTGCAGACAGCCCATTCAGTGATCAAAAATTCTGGATGATAAATACACTTTGCTTCGGCCATTCCTAACCAGATTAAAGCAGCGTTTTCTTTCAGAAGTTATCAGCATAAATTTTGGTATTTTGAAGATGCTTGCGGTACCACTTCAACTCTTGTAAATTATTAAGTACAGTTGTTGATCCTTCCAGAGTTGAGTGGATAGGTGAAAATAGTGACTTCATGCAAAAAATTCGAGAAAAATGGGCCTGATAATTAGTGCTGTACAAGTTTTAGCCAAAAGCTGAGGCTATAAATTTACATTTGTTTTTACTGATGCGAAAATGAGGACAAAGAATTGCAAAAAAATTGGGATTTTCAACTCTTCACTGTTGACTGGACAAAGATAAAAATTTGGCTGCTTTCCAGCCTCATCTAGACGTTGTAATAGCAGATATCAAGAGGACTAGTTCCCGAGTCTTAACAAGTCAACTCATGAGTTCTCTTCATTCCTTTCCTTTTTTATTTTACTCAGATTTGGATACATGTGTACTTGGACACCATCTAGTAGGCAGAAATCTTAAGAATAACCATGCTCACACGTTTGCAAGGCACAGAAAAATTGACTTCAAATCAGAGCACGATCTCAATATCTCTCGTTCTTTGTTATGAAAAATACATTGAAGCTCTGAAAAAAGCTTCATTAAAACTAAAATGAAAATTCTGACACTATAAATAAATGACAAGAAAAAAGCACCGACAGCCAACCCAAAAACAAGTAAAAACACTTATAAAAGCAACACCTATTCTGTAAAGTACCAAATTAACTTTTTAAAACTGTTTTATAACGTGAAAAAATGCAAAAATTAACCCACAAAGAAAAAACAAAAAAAGCACAGAAGACGGAAATTTTTACAAATCAAAATACCTAAAATATTGAAAAAGCCACAGAAAATTTCAATTTTAATGTGATTATCAAATCAATGAAATAACAAGAAAAACAATTGAATTGGCATAGGACATTCCAGATTTCCTATCGTTTTCCACCTTTTTACAGGATTTCCAAGAATTATCAATCACTGCTGAAGGCGTACGTAGATGGCAGGCTGAGCGGTATGTCATGCAGTCTGACATGCCATCTGATGCGCTGCTTGACAAGCCCTTCACCAAGCCTTCTCAACAGGGAGAATGAGGAACACTCCAGTGCTGTGAGGTAACGGTGGATGATTCGCTCATCGAGCCACGCATAAAGCGGCTGGACATACCGCTCGGCCCACCCTCTGAAAGTGCCTTTCAAATGCAATATTTTTCTTCAGTAGATAAAACCTCACTAGTTTCACCTCATTATGAGGCAATTATAGAGAAAGCATAAAGGTCAAATAGGAGCACAAAATAGAATTTTAGAAAAATTTTGTGAGAAGTAAGCATGACCCCTGACATTTAACATTGTAAGGTCATCACTCCTATGTGATCCCTCAGGAGCCAGCTGATTGAATCCAACTGCTGACCTTCATCCACAAAAAATTCAGAAACAAAAAGGGATGAACCGAAGTAGACTTTCCCTTAAATGAAGCTGTGCTGTGTACCAAGATATCCCATTTGATGGGTTCGCTACGGTATTAATACTAACACTGCATTTGACTAAGTCATCAATTCTGATGTGCTATTGTATAGAATAGCACTGTGCAAGGCAAAGTTCGAGGGATATTTGTATAGGATGGCACACTCATAAAGGTTTTGACTGAGCTGTACATCTACTTAAAAACCCACACAAGATTAAAGAGAAGTTAGGCCTTGTCTCCACGGGAGGTTTCATGGGATTTGTTCCAGGTTTGAATCGCCTGAATGAAACTTTTGAGCTTTTCCCCATTAAACACAACAAAATCTCTTCTTTTCCTCTCTGAGTCGCACTTGGGACCCCGTGAGGACTCTCCTTAGTCCTGTGATTAGTATTGACTAACGCAATACTTTTTCCAACTTTGCAGGTGAGATTATTCCCTGAGATAAATCCAAGGAGACAAGACTTACGAGGAAACTCACATTTCTTCAAGAAACTTTACCTCAATATAATGAAACAATAAGAAAAACCCCTCCTTAATTTTTCAACAAACTTCCTGAGGATGTAAGAATGAATGTATAAAATTAAGAGTGTACTTTGTATTCATTTGGTGGAATTTATAAAGGAGGAGGGGAGGATCACAAAGTTGACAGCAAAATTCTTAACACATATCTAGTTAAAAGAACATAGAGCATAGAATCTAACTGATAATATTACAGTAATTTCATATTAGGTCATAAACTACGGTACCTAACATGAATGAAAATGATATCTATCTACGGTGGGACTTTTAACTGGTACTCATTAGTTGTGAAGGCTCAAATTTTCAGAGCAGAAATACACAGATTGGATATTTTTTCCCCTTCATTGTCCCATTTTGGGATCAGATTACACTATATAAGGTGCATTTATCCATGTATGTTCTTAACCAAAAACTCATCTCTCAGATAACTTTCTTTCCAAAATAGTTGTGCAACATCTACCTGAACACTGATTTCCTGATTGAAGCTGAATTTTAAAAATTCTTTCATGGGGCCGCCGGGGGATCAGCAATTTTTTTATTTGCAATTACAAGTACAAAAAAATTTTCTCTTTAAACTCATTTGGTTGGGCTTTAAAAGGGAGCGCTGGGTGGGAGGAGGATTTACAAAGTTTATAGCAAATATCTCAACACATATTCAGTTAAAGGAATACTTTGCTTATAAAAATCAAATTCAGAATGTGAGTATTGTAAATTAATTTCGTTTCTACGTCCAATGCAAATGCAAACAGTTCATATAAAAAATCATGCACATGCTAGTAAACTTAGCTTGTTATCTTAAAAATGTATCCTGCCCTACATATTCTACGAACATGTGTCGCGCACAGTTCATTGTTAATGATGAAATTAAAATTGTTTGCCTCAGAGAGAAAGAATAATAATATGACAATGCATGGCAAATGAGAAACAAATTTTAATCTTTGGCAGTGACAAGGATATACAGTTGATGAAACAATGTAACTAGTCAGAAAGCGGAAAAATACAAAGATTTGGCCAAGTATCTCAGAACAGTTTGTGAGGACTTCCAAAAGCCCTGCACAATGACACATTTTCTTTAAGGCGTGTATAATCTATAGCTATACTGCAATTAAAAGGATAAGATTATCACCAATCATCATATTCACATTACTTTCCATAATTTTTCTGCTCTTTGTTCTGGGACAAGCTAATATAAATATATGGGACAAAATTATAAAAGTTTATGTTCTTCTTATTATCGATTTTTTATTTTGATAAAACATAATAACAGCGAATGATGATACTCCCAGTCCTTCTCATCTTTCAATAATAGAGTTTAAATACAGCGATGAATTGTTCGCAACTAATTATCATGATATTGGCTAAAAATTAAAAATTCTGAATTCAGATCTGAGTTATTCATGAAACTGAATTCTCCAAACAGTTTTCAATGGATTTACTTCTCAGAACAATGTTATGGGTATCTGTCTTGCATTTCATTATTATTATAACCATGAGACACACATTGTCAAGATCTCTCTAAACTTGAGGGAAAAAAATGTCTGATTCTTTCAATCACTGATCACCCAACATGCATAAAAAGAGATTTCTACGATTTTTTCAAAATGAATTTCCATGTTCTCTTTACGTAATCAAGCGTATGATTTTCTGAAAAATGAAAACATTCCCTCTGATGCTCGTAAGACTTGATAAGATAGAGAAAAAATAAACATGTGAAAAAAAGCCTTTCTCTTTCATTTAATTTCTCGAACTATATCTTGCTACCAAAATGTAGTTAATGCCTAAGTGTCCACCGGCTTAAAATTTTGATGAGAAAATATGTATAGTGATCCTTGATTTCTAGCCTTGTTAAATAGTCTGTTAGTAGGGCAAAACTTACTTTAGTGCGCAGCCCCTCAATTAGAGAAGATTCTTCAAATGAAAACAGAGTGCATTATCATATTCGACAAGTGCAGATTTATGAAGAGGTTGATGAAATAGCAAAAGGTGACTTATAAATATTAAAAAAACTCACAGTACGGGAACATGAATATTTTTCCCAAGTGAATGTTTGATGGTGTCATTAATTGTAAGAAAATGTTTCATATCGGTGAATATCTTGGATACACATTTAGACATTCGATTCTTAGACAATTATACAATTTCACTCGATCTCTTAAATTGAATTTCACAAATGTATTTGTTTGTATGCTGTTGAGAGACCAGGAAAATTTTGACTGATACCTGAAGAGTAGACTCGAATGAAAAGATGAAAATAATTTATAACAGAACAGTAATAGCTATTTGTAGCTGGTTTGTATTTTCTCAAATTGAAAATTTAAAGCAAAGAAGAGATGTAAAGTTCATGAAATAAGAAAGAATTAAAATTTAATCCTCCAGTTAAGTCTCTTGGAGGAATATAACTAGCATAATCTTCTTTGCAATTTCAATTGGACTTGGGTAGCTGCCTTTCTACGTTCGCTGCTGTAGCTTAAATGGTTATTGAATACAGCATTCGAAAGTTTGAACCAGCCGGCTGGTTTGACCGTAAAATTTCAGTACAGAAATCCCGTTTTTTTTTCAACACAGTTTTTGGCTGTTGGGCGGAAAGTTACAGGTACATGCTATTTGTTGTGGCCATTTATAATTTTTAGTAAAATTTCGTAGAATCATGGGTGTTCACGGGTGAAGATCGTGATTTTTCGGAGGCACTCATGGTTTTTCACAACACAATGCCGATTTCAGGAATTCTCAAAAAATTGTTGTCAACTTTCGCCAGTGACCACAGGATTTAGCTGATTATTCGTCTTAGCCCTCTCACTGTGGCAGAACTAGTCTGAGGTGGGGTTACTTGGTACTCCTAAACTTTCGGTCCTTCCAACTTTCAATGTTAGTAAAGTTGGGTTCTCCTATTATGTGTTTCGTCCTCCCCCTTACATTTCTCTTTCAGAGCGTTAAGTCCAATTTGATAGTGATGAGTGGTAGCTTTAGCTGTTAGTCGTGTTGAGAGTCATTATTAAGTGAAAAGTGTTTTACAATTCTATAGTTTTTCATCATCAGCCCGACACCACAAAAGTTCATTTTATTACACTTTCCCACCTTATCACCATCCGCGGTGTAGTAGGGGTGAGAGAAAAAGTGTATTAAGAGTGCTGCAACTCTACTAGAACTATTGCTCAACTAGTGGAGGTAAAATTATGGTAAAAAGAAGTGCTGCTTCAAGTTTTCATGGTCTTCCAGTTTCCCTGGACACTTATAGGTAGCCAAGAATTTTTGCAGGAGTTGCTGGCTAGAATGGACCAAAGTAGAACAAACGCATAGAGGTTTTGCAGATTCTCGCCAAATTTGTGCCAGTTTTATTAATCGCTACTATGCCGTGGATACTCACTGATAGTACATGAGTCAATCCATAAGAATGGGTTCAACAGCAAAATAAAAGTATTAGGTTAGTTGCTATTGAACTAACCGTGGTTACTTATTTATCCTAATTTTTACGACTACCAAAATCAAAAAAGCAAATGGCAAACCTTGCCTATATGGTTTGAAACAATGCCTTGCTGTGTTCCTGCATGACTTTGCTTCTTAGTACACCACTCAGAACATCATTTTTTGTATTATTAAAATAATCTCTTGCAGTTCAAATTTGACTCTATAAATAGGTACATTCAAGTTTCAGATAGTTTGATGAAATTTTCTTTTTCAAATGCTTCCTTTAGAGATGAAGAAAAGAAGTAATAGGGCAGAGTTACATGTTCCCTCACAATAATGAGGGCTACTGTCTCACTTTGAAAGTGTTAGCTGAATTTCAAACAACGAAATGAAATATACATACCACACAAATGCAGAAGAATAAAATGAAAGACACTCAAATGAGAAACTTGACAAAGATGGATTGAGGATTGCATAAATAGGCAGAACCAGTCATCCGGAATATTTTCGGGTTGTTTTTAGACAGGAGGAAATTTTTTTGGAGGGATGCAGAGGGACCAAATGGAAATTCCAGCAAAAAGAAAACAATAATAGATGTTAGACTTGGAAATAGTACTTCATATCTGATTAAAATGGTTCTTTGTACCTGGCAGAGTTTGAAACTGATACGTAAATTAAGTTAGATTAATCACTACTGGTAAATAAGTGGGAAACATTGATACTTCACCTCCATTAAGTTATGAAAATACCAGCAGAATTTTAGATGGATGAGGTAAAAACTTAAGCAGACTGTAAAAATGTATTGACTAAAAAAATAGGAGCACCGAAATCAATCACAGACAAAGACACTAGTATTCAAGCAAAAACAAACAAACACAAACAAAACCAATTACAGTGAAAGAAATAGTCCTCATTTTACAGTAGGACGACGAAACAAAGTTTTGTTTCCTAAAACAGTTGCGAATCTTTGTACACATTTACAGGTCGGGCTTTGAGGAAATTTGACGGCAAGAGCTCCTGCTGCTGAGCCAATGTTTAAAATACATCATACCTACATTAATAAACTTTTCGACAAACATTAAATAATTTTAAAGAAGTGTATTTGATTGGCTTGACTGAAAGACTGAAGTAAATGATGGTTTAAAGGCGAAATCCCTCCCGCATTTTATCATGCCATGCAGCAGCTATAATGATTTGAAAAAGAGGAAATACTCTCTGTAGACAGCTCTACCGCGACGCAAGCATCCCTCTGCACTCCGCACCATTCTATTTTTCCTTCACTGGATCAGATAGATCAGATCTTGCTAGTAATGTAGGATGCAGTGTAGCGGTCAGCTGCCTACAGTGACATAAAAATACGAAGCTTCTTTTGCTTGTACTTCAAGTACTTCTGCTCACATTAGAACTGACGCACCCTTCTGGTTTACTGAAGTGCTTCCCAGATTCGATAAAACCTAATCATTTTTTTTGGGGGATTTGTATCCTGTAATGATCTCATCTTCGTTTCAAATTTTTTTTTTTTTAAAAACGTTCCTCGGAATTATGGCTAAAGTCGCTCTGTTATTTTTCTCTGCATCAATTAACTTTTTCCCAATACTTAAGCAAAATAGGTGTGATTTTCATTTCAATAAGTTTGATCATAACATCTACTGCTGTCAAGTTCCCTCAATCTTTTGGATTAATATTTTACGTTGATAAAATACCGTCCTCTAGATCTTATGTTTGAACTTTCTTATTGTTGTTCCTATGAGACTGGAGATAATTTCAAACTTACTCTATACGTCTCCTTTCTTTATCATAAGAAAGGATGTAATGAAGGAAAGTTGCATGTTTTCCCGGAAGCAATAAAAAATCCATGAAGCAAATCTGAAAGGAAGGAGGGAATGTGAGGGAATTCAAAATGGAGGCAAAAGCATAGGATGGCAGGTGAATGGGATGATGAGGAGTATGGTTGGTAGGTCCATTTGAAGGAGAAAATCTTGGTATGGGAACCCTGGGAATGTATCATATAGGAAGCGAAATATATATATGTATATTACATATGATGTGGTATGTACAATGTATGTGTGTGTGTAAGGCCCCACTTACTGATCTGTATCTTCGTTGACAAACATCTGTTGGCCCCAAATTGACAACATAGGATCTACAATCCCAGGCTTTCGTGTCTGGAAACTAGCAAAATCAAATTTTAAAATCATCAAAAACGAAATGATCTCAAGACCAAGCAACAATAGGACGAAGTCCTGAAGCATTATTATGAAAATATTGCTTTCCGATGACTCAAGTCTTGGTATGTTTTAAAACTTCTGGCGTTGTATATCGCGTGTTCAGTTTCAAGAATTTTGATGATGTATTCCTAGACAACTTAAAAGATCTTTTCGTAAATAAATATTCTCCAGGCAGAAGAAAATGTATCTCTTTTGAGCTTAAATAATAATGAGGTTGAATGAAAGTTAGGTCAAGGCTGTAAATTTTTAAAATTTTGAATTTTCCTTACATATTGACACAAAGCTAGGGTAATAAAAAGGCCAGTTGATTAATGCCTTAATGAATTAGTACACATAGAATTGGTTATACATCACTCTCCTGATGTACATGTTACACTGTGGGTGAGCAGTGGCGTTAATTTCTGTCTTCAAATTATGTGTTTTGTGATGAGTGATGCTGATGGATGCTTGTGTTCCTAAAATATTATTTGGGGTATGAATCATTGGGCTGTATAAAAAATATATGTATAAAAAAAGCTTTCATTACCTCCAATAAGTGTATTAAATAATAACCGAGGATTAATGATTGATCTCAAAAATTTATTTGTTTGTACAAATAGATTCCAAAGTTCACCGGTACTTGTCAAATCTGCAATAAAATGCTGACTGAAGTTCATTTCGACCAACATTTTATGGTTTTGTCAAATTCCTGAGCAATAATTAGTTTTAGTAATGTTTAAACAGGCTGCTTAATGATGACAGACCAGGAATATTGACTTTTACTTTGAAAATGATTAGGGTTGCACACAGAAGATAAGAATCAAGAACCAAGATTTCTAAAAAATTCCCTCTCTATAATACAATTTATATGATTTTTCAATGGAAAATTGAATCTAAATTGAGGTAAAAAGCAAAGCTCATGGTGTTTTCCAAAGTCCAAGTTTAAAAAGTTTCTGAAGTTAATTGGCTCCCCCCTTTTTCTCTTGAATTTGTCTGTTCTTCTTACAAGATCAGAGAAAATAGCGCTCAGCATTAAAACCATTCACAGCCACAACTTAAGATTGTCGCCTGCCATTGTTAGAAAATTTAAAAAATGTCCTATGTCATCAAGGTTTTTCTTAAAAATGCCTATGTTTATAGGACTCTTTCTACCGAAATTAAATCCACATGTGTTTCTTGTTTTTCCTATTTTAGCAGTCACTAAGAATCCAGCAGGTGCTCCACAGACGGAGAACTCGATGATTCACAGTTAGGGGGAAAATCTCCACACTTTTACAAATATGTCAGCTGAAGTAAGTGAAACTCGTGAAGGCTACATGTAGACAAACTTTTAATAGACTCCTTATGAATTTTGTCCTTAAAATTTTTCCTTTTCTGGTTTCATCTCGGCCACTTATCCTAGCTTGACGGAAATATGTCTATGATGGTGACAAATAAACGCCAACAGATAACAGTAAAAATTGAATTCGATTTAAAAAAAAACCCCTAACCACTGAAGTCAGAGGAAGAGATGGAAAGTTTGAGATATCCGACAACATCAGACGCACGAACATTCATTCCACACCAATCGATGAGAGTAAAAAGAATATAAGGCACCAGTTATATCAGTGAAAATTTTCCCTAGGCTTGATGGACCAGACGTGAGAATAGTGCTCCAAGGCATGCGTAGGATTGTTAGAACGAAAAGAAGAGGAATGGAATGTGACATTGATAACTGAATGCATCTCAATCAATCCACTACTGAGGTGCAAAATCAACAAAGAGTGCACTGATACACATGAGAGGATTGTCTAATGCTGCACTTATTTCTAGGCTCTGCTACTATAAATTAAAATTATGCTTGAGCTCCCACAAAAAAATTTCCTATGAAATAACTCTGTTTCAATGGCTGGTTCTTGAATAGGACGCATGTAATGATTTATTTGAAATCATTGCTGAAAACATAGATTACACAAGGGGGGAATGGTTTAATCTGTTCCAAAGTTTAGCCGTTTTCCTTTCAAAAGCTTGACTTTTTTTTAACCCTGTTCAAATTTTTAATTCTTCATATCTTTGATGAAAATCTTCAGGAGGCCACAAAAATGCCTAAACATTAGAGTATAATGTGTCACAAGATGACCACGGCACGGATTAGAGAGATGACTAAGTGAGAGGCAAAGACTATGAGTAAATTTAAAATACTGTAGAAGTTGTTCTTCTTCGTCATCGTAAAATATCGATGCAGGGACATACGCAACATGTGCAAAAAAGAAGTTGATCAGCTAGGTACCTATTTTTTTGCGTAGGAAAGGCTGACATATAAAAAAGAAATGTTCTGCAAAAAATAATTTAGATGCATTTGTGAGCTACTAGCACTACTTTCAAGCAAACTGACCCTCTTTAAAACTTGATCAAAAGAGGAGACTCAAATAATTGTATACTCATGAATTGATTAAGAGAATGGGTGATCTGAAAAATATCCGTTCACAGACTGATATTAAGAAACTCACCTAAGATCAGCGAGAGGAAGAAAGTCGATATCTATTAGTGGCCGTAAACTAGGTAAACTGTGAGCGACCACTCGCCCTGTTGAGATGTAGCAGACAAGACAGACGCTATCTATAAAAGAAAAAAAGAGTTAAAAACGACAAGGGCTAAGCAAAATAAAAATAACATTTAGGTACTGCCATTGGGAACAAAACCATAAACAGTTTTTCATGAAGAATGCGAAAAAAAAGTTTAAAAAAAATTAGAAATATATTATTATAGAGCGGCCCTCATGATAAAAGTTCAGCCTCATTTGCAGAAAAGCTTGGCATTCTTGTTACGTGACTGGTCTGGATAATGATAGGAAAGTTAGGCAACATCTACTCCCAAATTATTGAAAAGATCTTAAAATTTTTTTTGGTGGGAAATTGAAAACAACTGACAAGAAAAAGCATACCTTTTAGAGATATAATTTCAGATTTGACGACAAAATCATTTTCGACTAATTGCTGCCTATAAACACAATTATGGGATGGTAGCGCTACAACTCTGGCTTGTTTTTCAGAGACTATCACAACAAATTGACGATCACAGGCCATCTCCGCGCTTCCAGATGGAGGTGGAGACATTCTACTGTTTGACGCTAGTTTTGTAGGAGTTTCTAGAAGCAAAACAAAAGAGAATCACATAATTAATGATGGAGAGGCAGATTCATTTCTACAAAAGTTACATATTGTCAAAGAAAAATGGGAAAAACGTGGTTCTTCTCACTTAACTCTCAAGTTAAATAGCAAATAATAATAATAATAATAATAATTTTTTTTTAATTAATTTTTTTTTTTTTTTTGGGGGGGNAATTATTCATAGTATTTTTGGATATTCCTAAATTGTTAATATATTCGCTAATACTTGCAGTTTTAAAGTGATCAGGTTTGCAAAAGGGAGTAACTGAGTTAGATGCTTCATGTTCTGTGAAGCATTCAAAATTAATTATTTGCACAACCATTGTCAATATCAGTCATAAAAACAAAAACAAAGAAAACTGTCTGGGGATCTAAGTGTTTGTACGTATTTTACACTTAAATTTACATATTTTATCCATGAAAAATGAGTAAAATTCAAAACATTTCAAAAATAAGAAGGAAAGGGATAAGCTTGAAATCTGTAAGCTGAAATAATATACTGAAAAGTATGCTGAGCTATGTGCTGGTGTCAAGAACTTAGCATGAAACATTTTCTATTGCTGCGATTTTGCACAAAATCTCTTCAAGAGGCAAGTACATAATACACAAGGAAATTAGTAAAAATTTAGAAACATTTTACAGAGATAGAATATCTTTGAAAAATGTTGAAAGCTCTTGAAATCATGTTAAAGAATCAATTTTTAGATGACGTAAAACTCTTATATTTGATTGTATGCTTTGATACTATGCATAAAGCCATTTTCCGAAGTTAATTAAAACAGAATAATCCAAGGGGAAATAATTTAAATTGATCAGAGCCAAGGCAAAAAATTATAAAATAAAGCTGACAGACGAAACTTACTTTGCTTATCTCTACTTTCATCTTTCCATGCCTCGTAGGAATATGGAATCAGAGCACCATTACAATCTAAAAAAGACATCGTCAGTATTCCTCCACTGAGACGAAAAATTGACCCTGTAAAGTAATATTCAATAATTAACAAATAATGAAAAAAAATTACACTTTACAAGTTGCAAAAACATTTAGGGAGCTAGTATGGCGTATATTACCTACGCAGATGGGCACATGAGTAACGTAAGTCACCCCTCCTCCTAACCTAAACTGACAAAGACTAGACTAGAGAAGTGCATAAATTGGTCTGGGATTTCCATTAACAGTAATTTGAGCAGCACGAATCAGAAAAGTCAGAAAAAATGGAACTTCCCATTCGTAGGGGGNGGGGGGGGGGGGGAGAGGGATCTTGTCAGTTTCCCTTATCAGTTCCTTGATTCAGGAATAAAGAAAGTTTGACCAAAGAATAGGATATAATTTTGAACTGAAAACTTCTTGATAATTGAGGATGGCAACGCGGGAAAATTAGGTCACTATTCCCGATTAGAGGTGTTGTCAGATAAGTTGGCAGTTATTTAATTTTGACTGCCATGCGCAGTAGACTGATTTACGTTTCTGGATGCAGCGGCACTGCCCACAGTCAATCCTGGATGGCTGTTGGACGATTGCAACCTAGTAGCTTGCAAATGCTAAGTAAACAAGTGCACAACTTACTGCACCTCTATGAGTATCCCTGTGACCAATGAAAAATGACTTCCAAAAATCTTGCTGATACACTTAAGATATTTTATTCTATGAAATGGAAAATGATCTTGTGGTTGATCTTACAAATATGAATAACTTTCGACACGTTTTCATAATTTTCATTGTTTTTTGTCTCATTCTTTCTTGATTATCATTTTGGTCAGCTGATCAATTTTTGTTTGTTAAAGACTTGCTCTACCTGGCACAAGATTTTTTTTGTTACAGCTCATTTTAAACAAAGATTTTCTTTCCTCTATGTTCAGTTAATCTGGTGTTTAAAATTAGGAAAAACAAAAATTAAAATGTAATTGAAACTTAATTTTATATGATTTACCTTAAAATCATGAGAGTTCTCCCAAAAGAAGTACTTGTGTATTTAGTGTATTAGAAGTCAATTTTATCATCTTTTCAGGGCATCAAAAAAAAACAAAAAAAAACCAATGTTCTACTTTCCTCCGAGAGCTTCTAGGTTTATATTTAAAAAAAAAAAAAAAAATAGAAAAAAAAATTGGAAAAATGTACAAATACTGAATGCTTAATTTTAAACTGAAAAGGCGTCAGTCTGTTCGGATATAGTATAAAAATGTTCAGTCAACAAAACAAAGTTCAATGCTAAAATTAAGTAAGATCAATGTATAATACAAGAAAACTGCATACGAACAATTCAAAATATTAGAAACACAGAGCTAATATTTTTTTATTCTTACGAAGGGGAAATCAATCTTCAAATATAAGAGACAACATTTTTCATTCTACAAAAATTGTTAGCTACCAGCTTCCTACTTGGACAAGTACTTCCTTGTTGGTTCCTCTTCCTTTTCTACATTTTTCTTTTTCGAAGCCAAAGAGAACACAAAGTAGTAAAAGGGTAACGACAACATGGCAATGATAATAAAACTTCCTGGTCTCTCTAACTTTTCCTTACTAACTCAAATTGCATGTGCTGGAGATGCTGTGAAATAATTCATCAAAGAGAGACGAATGTGGAAAACTGATCATTCGAATAGGTGCGGCAAGAAGGATCTGAATGTCATTTTGTGGGATGAAAAAGAAAACGATTACTTTTAGAACAAAGAGAAGTTAAAAGACACCTGGACTAAAAGAGAATCAAATCCTTTTTTCGAGCAAAAGATGAGCAAGTGTGGAGGCTGAACCTAGCGCAAAAATAAACTGAATTTGGTGCAAATCCAATTCTTTGGGGATCCCATCGGTCAATTGATTTAGGTGTACCTGTATGGTCATTCTGTACCAAAATGTATGGGGAAAAAAAAAGAAGGATCAAGATGGATTAGTTCCTTGATACAAAAAAAGGAAGGCACATACTGATATTGAAGTAAAAAGGACGTGGGAGCAAGTTTGAGTAAAAAGAGATAGAGAGTTCCTCATTGGAGTCAGCAGAGGATTGGCACTGAACTTAAGATAAAAAAGATTGAACTTGGTGCAAAAAGAGACTAAAGAGTGCCCAAGGGAGAAGAGGTGAAATATTCTGATGTCCTTGATTAGAAGAGATCACAGCTCTTGCAAGCAAGAGAGACAGAGTATTGACATTTGAGCGAAAGCGGAACCACAGTGAATTATAGAAAATTAAATAGCGTTTCTCCGAGCAAAAGATAAAAATTTTTAGTTATTGCACAAAGAGTAGTAAACTTAGTGCAAAGCAGAACTAAGTGGTTCTCTGTGAAAACAAAAACGAGTAAAGACTAACCTCGGTTAAAAGAGGCTCTAAATGCAAATCCAATAGCTAAAGAGAAAACGGATTGACATGGGAACAAAAAGGCGCTAAGTGCCACCAAGGGTAAAACAAGGACTTGAGTGCTCTTTCTGGGAACAACAAAGGAATAAATTTGAGTCAGGAGCAAACAGTATTGAGCTTGGTGCAAAAGGAGGCTAAGTGCTTCCTCTGGGAGCATGAGTGGAATCAGTACTGACCTGGGCAAATATTGGTCTAAATGCCACTCCTGACAGCAAAAGAGAAAAAGTATTGATGGTGAAGCATAAAGAGGCTAAATCTCATCTGGAGCAAAAAAGGATTAACATGTCCTCTCTGGAAGCAAAAGAGGAATAAGTGCTGAACGTAGAGCGAAAGTTTTAAGCTTTGTGCGAAATGCGACTAATTAGTCCGATTGGGTGCAAGAATAATATTGAAGAAAAAGAAAAAGAGTTGATTTGGAATGTAAAGGGTCTAAATGAAACTCCTCGGGATAAAAAAGATAAAGTAATCACATGGAGGTAGAAGGGAACGAGTGCCACTTGAAGTGAATAAAGGCTTGAAATAGCGAGTTTAACTGCAAAGCTTTAAAAAAAAAATAAATAAATAAAATCGTGCATTAACCTAGCACTTGTGGTTTTGATCTTGTAAACAACCGAAGTCTTGATATTGGAAATAGATTGAGCGAGCATTTGTTCCGTTTTTGATAATGAACAATGTAAAAACGCCAAAATTTTCCAAAATGCTAATTCACTATTGGCACTCTCAGCACTAAAACTGTGAAGTATCAAGTTCAGATAATTCTAGAATTTTGCAAACGCTAAAAGCCTAACTTTTCAGTGGATCACATGTCAGTGATAACATCACACAGACAAACAAATAAAAAGAGGAAAAGTGATGGGAGAACCCTAGTCATTCAACATTTCTGTATCAAAATGACAAACTGCATGAAGGGCTCCGAAAAGCACTCCACCCACAGTTTAAGTAAGTTAAAGGTGAGCATTCATTGGTTCCTGAAGTCACTTCTTCTTTTTGGAATCCAAAGAAAATTTGTTTTCTTGAATACGACAAAGTACCTCTGAGAACTAATTCAGCATAAGTTCACTATTCCTCGACCACCTGACCAAAAATAAAGTTCTACTAAATTTTATCTTGAAAAAAAAAAAAAAAAAAAAAAATTGAGACCAACCCTTTTCAAATCAAAAAGAATTATTTTTCAAAATTCTCTTGACAGAAATGTCAACGACAAAAATCAACCAATCCTGAGTATGATGTCAAACCAATTGTTGATGGACCACAACACCTAATCTGTATTGCTCAGTAGTGACCACTTATCTCTCATAAAAAGGAATTTTTTCTATCCAAACCGCGGGGATTGCACTGAATTGCGTTACTTTTATATCCGTATCCGCTGCTTCCGTCCTCAAGCTGAACAACAAATAATCCTTAAAATAAAGGATAGAATAAAGTCCTTTGAAAGATATCCCAGATTTGATCCTCAGCAGAGTTAGCCAGGCAAAGCAAGATACTTTCTGGCCATATCAGAAGACTGCTCCCACTCAAAAGTTTACAATTAAAAAGAAACATCATGACAAATGGCCTCGACTCAACACCTTCTATTTCCTGCTTTTCAAATCACATTAAATAAGAGGAAGTATTTTTTATTTGTTTTCATTTGAGGAACTGTGTCACATGACAATGGCTATTTAAAGCTTTGAGTTAAGAGACAGAAGTACCTAATTCGTATCAAATTATGCCTTTGCCGTAGTACATTTTTTGTGTGATTGAAATTATGAATACATTTTCTTCAAGTTATGTCTTTGCCATACTATACTTATTGAAGCAAGAGGCTGAAAAATGTACACATTTTCACGCAGACACCATTGAAAACGTCTATTTTCTTGGCTCTGGCAAAAGTTTGCGAATTACTCATTCTTGTGCATGAAATCGAGCAGCTTAATTACATGCTCATAATTTTCTCGCATTCTGAACTTGAGGATCAACCTATTTTGTGTCAGTAATTGAATTTTCCAGAAAGAATTACGATGTGGTAAGGAATGTTATGGGTAAAAGAAGAAACTGGTTTCACATGAAAAATAATAGTGCTATTCAAGAAGTTGTAAATTACTGGGAAAACTTAAAAACAGCTTTCTACTAATCCAATTTCTACGAACCATGAATTTCTGGGAGAAGGAATGACAAAGTCTGCTCAATTCTACCCTGAGCAAAAAAAAAAAAGGCCCTATTATTCTAGTTCTTTGTCTAAATTTTTGTCGCCCAGCACCATTAGTTTAGCTCTACGAATGTGAAAGTTGATTTTTTAATGAAATCACTCATTGATGGAATGAAAATCCTGTCACTGATTCAACAACTGCATGTCACGTGAGTGACGTCTTCTGGCATGTTCAATGATTTTTCTACGAAGATCAGTGCTCCTACTCAGATTTAAACATAAAGAAAAAGAACAAATGATAGAATTGCAGATGTATGTCCTTATATCTTTACTTTCTCACCTAACTTCATGAGTCGGGTACTCAACCTTAGGTTTTTTTTAAGTTTAAGTATCTTTTCTTCTCTGTAAATTCCTGACTGTTGATCCAATGAGCAAGACTACACCGAGATCAATGTTATACTTGGAATTTTATGGAGATAGATTATAATGCTATACCTTGGAAGTTTCTCTTATTATGTGATCACTCAATTAATTTCTTTTCAATCAACTCGATGATGATCTAATGAGCAAAGATACATTGGCAATATACATTCATTATTTGGTTATATGTCCTTGATAAATAGAGTTTTAACTATTCCAACCTGCTAAATGGGAGCGATGTGTGCATTTATAAAAAATTAATAGTATCAGGTAAAAAATATTTTCAGAACTAAAAATTAATAGATTTACAAAATATCAAAAAATATTTCCGATACTTTAAATTAACAGATTTACAAAATATCAAAACAGTAGTAAAAAATATCTTCTGAACTACGAATGAACAAATTTATGAAATCAATGGTAAAGGAAACTTGCCACAAGGAGTTACAGTCACAGATTGAGTCTGCCTGGCATCTCCAGCAGGCAGCAAATTCAGCATGATTGTCAAAACGGAACCTAAACTTGTTCCTACCCATAGGGTTGGGAAGGTTGAAGCATCTGTAACAGAGGAAATACAACTAAATAAATGGAGTGGAAATTACCAGGGAAAGAGTGAATAAGTAAGAGTGTAAATAAACAAAATCGTTACTTGGTTCCTATGAAAAATGACAAACTTAAGATAAAAGCATTACCTACATTTTTGAGGGACTGACTGAACTCATTAGAAGATGCTTAGAGTTGGTAGAAATTTACATGTAACCTGAAAGGAAGCTTTTAGCAGCAGGTCGATTATTAATATTATGCAGTATTATTATTATTCTAGTGGACAAGACTAGACGGAATTGAGCCATAAGATTGGTCGGCTATGTTGATCTAATTGACCACATCAGGGGCCCTTTAATGGGGTTGAATAATCTACTAGCTTCCTCACTGGCCGACAACTGGTGACTAATTCATCCCAACAAGAAGCTTGCAATTAATTCAAATTATTTATCTTCTGATGTTTCAAACGTTACATTATACTTTTCAGAGAAATCACTCCTCCAGGATATGTGACAGGTCTAATTTAGTGTAAAAAGCTTAACAGTAGAGTTCTGACTTTTTCCAATACTTTTTTTATCTGAAAAGTGGACAGGGGTTCACTCAAAGAGAGGACGAGAGAGGAAACAAGTCAGGCAATGAGTCAATTTCACTAGAAATAAAATAAGATAGTTCTTTCATCAATTTGACACCAAAAAAGACATTATTATTATTGAAAATTTTTTGGTTAGTATTGTTAATGTGGCCACAATAGAATTACAACAAATGAACATGGTCAGGGATCACATTCAAAGTCTCTAGATGAAAGAACATTTCTGGCTATGACTAATCGGCTTCCTTCAAGGAGTTGGAGCTGTGTCCCTTGGGCAGATAGAATTCAGGGACTCGAGACATAAAGCTTGGGCACAAAGCAACTTCCAATTAAAATTTTGTAGACGAGCTAACTAATTTTTCAAAATATGTAAAGTAGTTACCAGACTTTTTTGTGTAGGAATCAGCAAACGCTAGGCACTGTACTGCTTCATAGTTGATGTTTTCCAGACTACTCATGCTGGAACTGCGGGACCGGGAGGATGTGCTGTCCAGTTTATCTGTGAAAACACCATGACAACATTAATAAAACTCATACAGCAAGCCCCAATTTAGCAAAGCCAATATGTCCTCAACAATTGATATGAAAAAATCACCAACAGAATTTGAAAAATCAAGCTGATCGAGTGAAATGGTTCTCTGTTTTTCATTTATTTTTGCTAGTGAATGGTATGAACTTTCCCTTTCTATTTTCATGAATGAGTTCATCTTCCCATCAATTCACTCTGAAGTGACTGTTTTGCATTTTACTGCAAGTGAAAATGCTTAAATGCAGAGGTTTTTGGTTCAATGGAAAGAGGTATCAAAAGTTTAACTGCAGAAACGAAATTCTGTAGAAACCAAACATGTCTGTAGTTTAAATAAATAATGCGATGAGTAACTTCATAATTTTTACTGATAAGTTCCCTGTTCAAAATTTAGGCAGAAAAATGTGACAGAATTTGAAAAAAGGGTTTTAAAAATGGCGGCGGCGATTAGAAAGAACTGTTAGTTTCCTGGCAGGGGCTTTCTAGGACTCAATACAGAAGTTCCCGATTCTAGAAATTTTTACCAATTTCCTTGAGTGAAATTTACAGCTCCCAACAATTATGTACTTAAAAAATTTAATTTGAAAAATCCCTGAGAATTTATTAAATTATTTATAGTTAGTTTATTAGTTTTATTTATTAGTTTTTTAGTTATTAGTTTCATTAAATTATTACTTCGAAAGTTTGAGACTAAAATAGAGAAATTAGGAAGAACTTGGCATGATGTAACTAATTAATACCCAACTGAGAGTATCCTGACATGATGATTTTTAATACTTTATTAAAAAACTTCTAGTTCCTATTTTCAGTTTAGGCTTCGAAAGGCTACAAATGCAACTTCCTTAAAAATGTTAATTTTTGTCAATCCCGGGAAGTTTATTAGCTTCTGACTAGAGTGCTTCAGCAGTAATTATTAAGGGTAGACATTACATTTCTTCTTACATTAACTTCTGAAATAACTATAAAACAGCTTGGAGCAATGTTAGATTTCACTGAGGCAGAAAAGGTTGCCATTAGTTTTACAGCTCTTGTAGTATTTCCCCAATAACCACAATCTCTCTTCTCCGTTATGACAGTTAATTTCTTTTCACTATTTTTCATAGACCCTGCTCACAATTTGATGTTACACATGGACTCTTCCTTATCTAACAAGTGCCATGGACTATCTAGGAAAGCAGGTCGAGAGTTTAAATGAGCCAGATATAAAAAATACAGTACAAAGATAGTTTTGTGTATAAACAGGAGACTTTCATGCCTTTCTTAATTTTAGACTCCAGAACTCACGATCAGTCGATATTTTGTTTTTTTCTTGAAATTTTGTGTAGGCAGTTTAAAGCGGGATTTGGAAGCCATTCAATTCAAACAATTTACCTCTTTAAATTGATTCGTTGATTAAAAGCTTATAAAAACTGAAAAACGGGGAGAGACTATTATGCCATTTGGTACAAATTTTCTTGTTTAAAAGTTATTATTGTTGCTTGAAAAATTGACAAGTGTCTGAAAAGTAATTGAGCTGTAAACCTGGGTTTTAAAAATCTTCTAGGACAGGTTATCATGACAAAATAAGGAGAAAAGCGAGTTAAGTCACTTGATAGCAGATAGGAGCATTGATTTTACCTTAGATTCCCAAGTCTTTAATTTTCAGTATAATAATATGCTTCCCTATGACACTACCTTTTCTTTTTTTTCTTTTCTTTTCTTTAATAAAATACCCATGACCTATCTCTTCAGCACTTGCAATCCTGCAGAGTCATATGATGATTCTGAAAGTTATCTTTTCCAACTTGTTATGAATTATCTATGATGAAACAAATAAAAAAAATGCTCAGGACTTGACTGATAAATATCTTCAGAATTTTAATTCTTCTGAAAGAATTGATTAAGATCCTGAGAGCTGAAGATCAAAATTACTTGGCTCACAGAGTTTGAGAGTAATTGATTAATGCATTTCCTAAAACTGTGAGCAAATTTTAGTGTTGAAACTACTTTCCTCTGCATTTTGTATTGATTGCAAATTCAGTGATGTAAGAGAACCTACTGAACCTACATTTCTAATAATAAAATCCCGTTAAAATTCTTAAATACTAAAAATTTAAAATATCAAACATTTAGCAGTGATAAAATATGAAAAACACTCAACACATGTTCAAAAGAAGAGTCCAATTTTCATGCTAAAACATTAATTAGCAAAACCATGCTGAGAAAATCTTCAAGAAAGTGAAATCACACTCATAGATTCAATGGCTCCTACCCATGGAACATGTTTCAAGCATTTTGAGTCAGAGAGTATCTTCTCCATACTCAGAGATAAATGGCAATACTCCACGCGTTTCTCAGTGGCAGGTGGAGAATTGCTTTGTCAGGGTTCCACTACTTGGCTCTCGAAAACGATACTTCCTTGGTGGCTGCTGAGCAACACGATGAGCAATTTGATTGGCAAGCAAGCTGACCTACCAAATTGGTAAACTTGTTGACCTTGACTACTTTGCTCAGCACGAAGCTCAACATCCGAAGGGTAGAATGAGTGTTGCTACTCATGAGGTAATTTTAAAGTGAGGAATGCTAACGTCTACAGGTGGACCATTGCCAAGATTTGAGCGGAGGGTCTCAATTGGCATTCAACTTTAATCACTGTTGTTGTTTTGATGTGGGAAAATTGTAAACCTCCATGTTCATTCCATACATCTGTCTTTTGCCGAACAGCAAGAAGAAAAAAGCTGGACCGGGAGAGCTTATGAATCAGACAAATGGATTCTTACATAAAAATCCAACGAATGGGAGCCCTTGAATTATGCAATCAGATGTTAATCTAATAATTTCATTGCCAAAAATTTCAAGCAAAGGAAAGCTTCTGTAACAAATCTCAAAAATGTGCAACAGAGAAAAGGCAGACTTTTAGGCAGAGAGAGAGGCAATTTTAGCCACAGCTATTAAACGATTGAAAGAAATCAAGTAAAACTGTGAATAAGTAAATCTTAATTTAAAGTTACTTAAAGTTAGGAAATGCTTAAAAACAGAGAAGAAATACCTCAGATGATACCAAGATAATTGAATAAATTTCACATATTTCAACAGGGATTCTGGTTTATTAGCGAAGAAATTTGGAATCGTTCAACTTTGGGTTAGTTAAAGAGTTTCGGATCCTAGTAATTTTTAAATAGAGAATGTAAAATAATTATTTTGCAATTAAGAAACCAATACAACTATTCTTGGTTGCATTTGAAAAATCGAATAACTTGTTGATTGCAACCTTAACTCATTTCATTCCGTCAAAAATTGACAGGAAGTTTTTATGAAGCAAGTAATGCAATGGCTGTAAGCTTTAACAAAAAGTTCGAATCACCAATTCAGTCTCTGAAGTTACTGGATGAAGAACCACAGTCGTATTTCCTTAAAATGTTTTCGCGGGAAATTAAAAATAGAATGTTTATTCCGGAAAAAACGTTGTTTCAAGAGACACTGTACTTGAGCAGTCTGTACCTAACTGGCCAGGATTTGAAAAAATGAACATTGTTTTTAGAAAAACGTTATTTCGAGGTACAACTGTATTTTTTGTGGAAGTTCTTGGCAAGAACAAAGGCATTCTACAACTATCCAGCCACATAATTCAATACAATTCTGCTGTTAATTGTCCTCAAGTATAAAACAGGCATCACTTTCCTTTGAGAATTGTCTGCAAGGCATGCTCTCTTTGATCCAACGAAACTTTAGATTGCTACCAAAATTTTCTGAGTAAGAATTTTGCCGCTCTCACAATGCCGTTCTTAAAAAGAACGGGAGAGAAGGCAGGAGAGAAAAATGAGGAGCTTATCAGCTTTTTAAGCAACAGGTGGTCCTTGGGTTACACAGATTGCATCTCAATATCAGCCTAAAAAATTTTGGGACACAAACCAATTTTAAAGATATACGTTCTACTTTATTTGGGAGTCGACCAAATTTACGCAAGATGGCGTTTCACAAATTAAATAGGGGGGGGGGAGGAATTCAGGTGTGACCTGCAATTTATCTTATTATTCATTTAATCTTTCAAGTTGTTGACAGGCGGAATAAATTTACATTTAGAGAAAAAGAAGATGCATCATTTCAAATCCAAGTGCGTAAACAATCATGGCCCAGAATAGCAATTCAGAGAATAAAACAGAGAAGCAAACGAGGTAAATGCATAATCTATCTAGAAAGAACATAAAAAACAGCCTGCAAAAATTGTAAGCGAGATACTATTACATAGATAAAATTTTGCAATCAAGAGAGAAGATATTCCTTGAAAAAGGTCCGGGAAATGTCCTTTTTACTTGAGTTTCAGTATGAAGGTCGTATCACACTCATTATTTTACAATCCTGTTAGTTACTTAAATGATTTCTCGAATTGGCAACTTAGAGAGGGGGAAAGGGTTGAACATATTTACAAATTATGAGCTTTTTCTTTGAATGAAGTTATTTTGTCGGAAGTTTTAGCTTATGTAAAGCTAGTTGTGAATTAAAATGTTTTTGTAGCTCTTTGGAACTTATTTTCTTAAATTTCTCACGATTTCCTAAAAACAGATCTAGACCAGCCTTTAGGAAATTTCCAGTCAAGTACGTGTGGATGGTCAATATCAAGAGGGTCAAGTTACAAGGAGCATCTAAAAAATGTTGATCTCGTCAGATGAAATGGTTCTTACTTGAAAGTCCTAGAAATTACAAATCCATCCATACTTTGATTCTTGGGAGAATAATAGTTTTAGAATTGAGCAAGACGGATACGAGATTTATCTGTCATGGTGCAGAAACGAAAAAATAAAATAAGAAGGTTTCTGCCCATGTTTTGAGTGACGATTTCTGATAACTTACGAGGGAGTGTGAGAAAAAGTAAGAACTTAACTTACAGAAATTTTGCAAAAATTTAAGACTCTTAGCTACGACTACTCTAAAAAAAACTTTCAGATATATTTTGAGGTAAAAAAAAAAAAAAAAATTCAAGAATTTTAGCTATG